TGTTGTTTGCCATGGCTCAGTCGGCGATAGTCGGTTGATGCGAAGGCGAGTGTCACGTGAGTGTCGTGATTTTTCCAGTCACGATTTTCGGAACAAGTAAATTTTTCGTTTACGAAAGTACACCATGACTAAAAATCATGAAATTGTGAACATTGTTCCACAAAATAAACGTAACACCTCCAAAGGCAACAAAAGTCATAGAATCGTGAACTCTGTTCGGAAAATCATGATCTAGTTCTGGCAAACGTGACTTATGTTCATACGTTGTGATTGATACGGGAACGAGAACATGGTTCATGAACTATGAAATGTCAACTGCATTATAATTACCAATATTTTAAATGGAGTGAGGAAGTGGAATGAAAACAACGGAAGCCCGCATCCCAACTGAAAATGACAGCTGCAGCATTGCATGTGATCCAAGTTCACGATTTCAGGAACGAAAATCACACTTATGGGTTCATGGATCACGAAATCGGTTTCGATCGGCCGGTTTTGAATGGTTGCAATAGCAACCCGATCGTAGCTTTTATGATGTGATAGGAGGGGCTTGGTGGCCTTAGAGCGACCATTTTTGCTTACTGAGTAGAACATTAAGAATATAATCTCAAGCCTCCACATTCAATACTCGTTAATCGCTTTATTTGTTAATGTGAATACATTGGAATAACAACAAATCGATCGTTGTAATAAAACTTACTAAGCAGAAAACCCTGGATTCAATCCCAAGCTCCTTGGCATTATAGGATCGTTAGGATATCAATTCAGCTTATCGTTTACCAAAACGGATCCTGATGCAAACCCGACCCTTTTCTTCAACATCCAGTGATGTCTCGGGGATGTGCAGAGAATTTCTGCTTTCAACATAGCGGGTATTACACCAACACATTCCAGCCCTTTTCTTTCTTGACCGACCTGGGTTCGGGCGCGTTCGGCGCTCAAGATGGGAATATGTATAGTTGGTCAAGAACTCACGATCCGCTATTGTGGGTGCCGTTAATGTTCATGAAAAGTTCACTTTTTTTTTCTTTATTAAAGAGACTTTTAGCTTTGGGCTGGTTCGTCTTTGGGAATCCCAGGTGGGGAATCCCCTATTTGAGGGGGGTGGGAATTCCAGAGGGAAATTACCCTAACAACATAGTTTGGATCACAGAGGGGATTTCCGAAAAAGGGCGTGGGGCCTCGGAAACTGAGTTTTTAGCTACGGAGTTTTTAATTTGGTGGCCCTGCAAGGGAACCTTCGAGGGTGGGGCTCCGAAAGGGGTCCCTTAGTTGCTTAGTGGCTGTCTTAATACTGTCATTTTGTTGGAGAATTCCGTTTTCGTTGCGTTGGTCTGTATAGTTGCTGATGTGGGTGGTTAGTTGTGAGATTCTGGTTCCGAGTGTGATCTGGTATGGTGGTGATGATGATGATGGTGAGTTAGGTGATCAGATTAGATCGAACAGCTCAGCTTCCCGCAGGAAAACTAAAAGGGCTGTAATTCTTATAGAATCGTTACCGAGGGCATCGCTGATGCTTCCCGGGATGTCGTAGCGGGTCTTGGTGCTTCGTATTTCGGACAGTGGCAAATAATGTGATCCACCGTTTGTGGAATTCGGCATAGATCACAGATCCTATGGAAAGGTCCGTCTCCCTTGTAGTTGTGGGAGATGTTTGTATGGTGTGTTCGAAGTCAGGATACTATGACCTGCTCTCGATGTATCGGTGGGTCCGCCCACCTGAAGATGTCTCTTTTAATTTTTCTGATGCAGGGGTTTCACTGGCCGCCCAATCGCGAGCCCAACCTTCGTTGGTGATTTTTGATACCCATTTTTTGAGGTCCGGACCAGGTACAATTCGCGTGTACTTCGCCATACGACGACCTGAGTTGGCTAGTTGGTCCGCTTTTACGTTACCATGAACCCCGCAGTTTCCAGGTATCCACACAAAGACTGTGTTGTTTGGCGCGTGTTCCTGTATAGCCTGGATAAAAGGGTGTTTGCTCGTATCGGATTCCAGTGCGGCTACCACACTAGCGGAGTCGGTGAAGATGGCTATTGGTCGGTCGTCGGGAATGGTGTCGGGAGTCTATGGCATTCTGCGAGGTTTGCACCAAAAATCCCGATTCCTACCTTTCCCTGGGCTACCGAGCCATCCGAATACCGAATGGTGTATCCTCCGTATTTCCGGTTCTGGAGTTCGAGTACCGCTTGTGCCACCGCTGAAGGATTGGCACCAGCTCTGAATTGGCGTATGATTGTGTGGTCGGTCAGAATCTTCGGCATGTTCCAACCCCTCGCTCCGACCCAGTAAACCTTGGATATTGGGGGGAGAGTCGGGTTGGATGCTTTCCTGAGTGAATTGTTCACCTCCGTGAGGAGGGAATCTTCCTTGTCGTCTCCTGATGTCTGCTGGTAAAGTCCGATGGCTCGTTGGCAGATAGTTTTGGAGATGAAGCGATCAAAGGGGAGCAATCCTCCTCGATGCAAGCAGCTATTACGGAGGTACCTGGCAAAAGACCCGAACAGATTCGGAGAGATTGTTGATAGACTGGCGCTAACTTTTCGATCAATCGGGGCTTGGCAAGGAACGTAGTTTCGATTCCGTAGGTTAGGCGTGAGTTGATGATGGTTTTCGCCACGTTCAGTCGGAATCTTCGGTTGGCATTTGGATGTCGTCCCGCTAGAGTTTTGAGCAGGTTCATACGCTGTTTGCATCCGTTTTTGACAAGTGTGTGTCGAAGGTGAGATGTCGTTCAAAGCAGACCCCGAGGATTCGGATCGTTTTCCGAAACAGAATTAGATCTTCTTTGATGCAGACTTTGGTGCTGAGGACTTGGTGTTTTATCGGACAGATGTGGGTGCATCCGCTCTTAGTAGCGGATAACTGGAAACCGGCCGACGAGGTCCATGCCGATACGTAGGTGACGGCCTGAAAAGTTCACTATTTTGCCATAAAGGTTTCCAAAACAACAAAGTTTACGGGTGGATTTGGATCTGTTTCATACCACCATAAGGTGTATGCTGGTCACAAATGCCTTGCCAAATTAATTTCCTATGCAGGTGATCAATCTTTGATCTGAATTTCGCGAATAAACACGAGGAGCATTTCTTATAGCAAAACTTGCCATACAAAATGGTCATACTTCATTTTTAGTATACAAACTAACACTTCTTCCTGCTGTCACCTTTGTATTACTCGCCTAGGTCGGCGCTGGTATTGCCTAGTTTGAGATCATCAATTTTTACATATTGAGGATGAATACTATAGTCCCAAGCATCGTCTATTGGTTATCTGTGTAATTACAGCTGATCTGGCAATAACAGAGTAGGATCCGCGGGCGGTCAATCATCCTCACGCTCAAATTTTCGAAAATTTAAATGGAACGTAGACTTTGACTGAGTTTATATATAACGGGGAGAGTTCTGCACGATTGCCAGGTCAGTCAACATGTAAGGTTTTTAAACTAAAGGGAATCAAGACGTTTGAGTTCAGCTAAAACATGAATAATTATTATTATTTAACTTTATTAATGAGGCTTTCAGCCTTGGGCTGGTTCGCCTCCAAAAACATGAATAAAAGACGAGTTTATTCTGAAGAATCTTGAAAAATATCGATGCAATGCAAAAATAGATTGCTCCGATTTATATTTCTTCAACCCTAGGGCTACCATTGCCTCTCCTCCTTCCCGTATTTACGCCAATGAGGGTACTCACGAATTATTTGTGTTCATTTAAACTAAATTTGTTTGTCGCAATTTGACCAGTGTAATTTAATATAATAATCGCACCCTGTACTGATCACCTGCATAGAACCATAAAGAAAATCAACAACCTATTCTGGTTATCATCCCAACCTGTGATATGGTTGCACCATATCTAGTATTGTTCATGTATGTAACTCGTTTATTAGGGCAGTGCCTTGAAATCACATTCCGCAGCCATCGATGACTTCACGCATTATGTTAATAGTTGGTTCTACAAAACGACTGCCGACAAATACGCTGTTTCAAAAACATTGATCACAATCAATTTAAATTGTTACTGAGCTATTTGATTTGCTGGAATCGATATGGGTTACAAATTTACTGCAACCAAACAAAGTTCTGATCTGAACCTGAAAATGGTTAACTTAATCACCCTTCAAAAAAAAGCCTCAATATACAGTATACCATTTCTCGTCATCCGTTTCGCGCATCACTCCACATACTACTCCGCGCCTACATAATTTCACAGTCCGACTATCTGTCTGCCCGCTGCTACTGATATACAGCATCAATCGAGGAGCGGTGCACGAAAATAGCTACTTACAACGCTGGAAATGCTCGGTCCTGTGCCGAGAACCGAGAACGTTGATCGTCGACGCGCGTGTAGCAACCACAAAGCGCAACTTAACTAGTACACCAATTGAAAGGCAAATGCTCCAAGCCGCGCGGGTACTATCCACACAAACCTACACAAACTTACAACATATGTATACTAAAACGGCGAGAAAGAGCGTTTCGCGCAACATCACCATTTACTGAAACAATGAACCTACGCGCAATATCAACAACGGCGACCCGCACACACAAACACCAGCAGCGCATAAACCGGCTCAATGAGTTCAAGAAGCCGTAGCACGTAGAACCATGGAACTGAAACCATCCTATTTACATTCGTGGTAAGCAGCTCCACTTTGCATGCAATTTGCTGAAGATGGAAAATCCGAAAACAAACATTATCATCCTGTTAGAATTCAAATAATTATTGTTCAAAGTACAACCCCGACATCATTGCCTAATCATGCCCTTCCACTCAACTCAGACACCCTTCATTGCATATTACGAACTAAGTGCAGGAATTAGCAAACAGTCAACCGTGGAAGGCGATTACGTGCATAGCGAATTAGGAATTCTTCGACTTTCTAATTCCCGGAAGGAAAAGGTTCTGCTTAGTGGTATTCTTTCCCCGGATAATCAATGCGCTACAACTAAAAGACCTACCGATGGTGCTATTGAGTACCGAAAATGATTGCTCACCTTCACCTGCTACCAGACCAGCGAGCTTCTACTCCAGCTCCAGCCCCGCACGGACAGAGGAAAGTGTAGTTTGTTTCGTTTGTTGTTTTTGTTGCTGCTGTTGTTGCCTCTTGCGTTTTTTTTTCTCTCCTCTGCCTCCGCTACACACTCTCGAATGACGACTGTAACAAATTTATGCGATGGAAGGGCAAAAACTGGAATTCGTCCGGACAAGCTGGCGCGGCCACAGATTCACCGAAATCCACTGTTAAACGTTGCACGGACATCCACTGCACACTTTATGCATAAATTCACTCCATTTTGGGACAGATTTGAACGCAATATTTTGCAAAATTTGGGTCCAATTCTGAAAATTTTCCTTCCGAGCTGTCAAAACTTTGGCAATACATCGATGAGTGCCGTGGGGGAGTTCCCAAAGCCAATTTTCTGACAGATGCCCACGGTGAGTGGCCTGGCAGCGGGTTTGAGTTTCTTCGCTGAGTGCCATGCTACACACAAAATGAATGAGCATCAATTTTACGCGTAATCGCCTTTTCCGATAGGGGTTTGAGCCGTCAGCAGTCGGATGATTTTTAAAACGAATCGATTTACTGGATGAAACTATAAATCCGCATAAACACCAAAAATGGTTTGTTTTCCATGTTTAATCTTCTTATTTGCATTACAAGTTTATTCCTTATCGTGTATTAGCTTATTGCGTGCTCTCAACTTAGTATTCTATGCACTTGCACAGTTATTAATTGAGAGCTTTCGATGCCTGTGTCATTTTTGCATTAGTTTAATTGTATGACAATCATAGAAATTTACCAACCCGAAAAACCTTTAGTTTTGTAATAATAATTAACAGGGTGGTCAGTGAAATTTCATTTTGAAATTCCCAGTTTTCCCAGCTCAAATCTTAAAAAATTCCCGGTTGTTAATATTCAACAAAAAACGTAATTGAACGCATTTTTAAAATGGCGGTCACCTGTAAATTTTCGGAGTTATTTGTGGGAAAAGTTAAAGCAAAATTACAGAAAGTATTGTTTAAAGCTGAAAGTATATTGAACTCTACGAGTCACATAATGTATTCAAAACAAATCATTGATCTATCTTTCGAGATACTTTGAAAACTCAATTTCTATCACTTTTTTAAACTTGATACACCTTATTATTTCAAAGACCTAGAATTTATTGAGTAACAGAGATAAAGGTCAGTATTGGCATTTGGCCATGCTATCCGTATGAATAGGATACAAGACAGAAATGTGAAGAATAAAAGATTTAATTAAAACAATTTTTCAGAAAAAATTAACTTGATACAAATGAGAATTAGATGAAATTGTAAGGGATATCGGACAAAGAATATGTGTCTTCACTAACATAAATATTCACCTTTCAGTACTCGCGCTGATGTACAAAGTTAAACACGAAACAAAATGTGTAAATCCTACTGACTTTGGAACTCGCTCAACGTGAAACATGGTTCATGAAATTTAATACACACATACAATAGACCAATACTTGAAGAATATTACTGAAAGGATACAAAACAGTGATTTACTAAGATTCCCAAGATTCTGGGGCTTTGAAATTTGTGTAGAGTCTGAAACTAGAACTTTTCTTTAAGATTTTCGTGATGCAAGATTTGGAGAAAAAATAATTAAAATGTGAGATTTTGAAAATTTTCAAAATCACAGTTTTGAAAAAAAATATCACACTGGAGTCATAATTGTCAAGGCTCTAAGATCTAAGATTGGGCCCATCGCTAAAAATCTGCTATTTATCAATTTTATCTAGATGAACGCGTTATTGGGACGTTACTAATGGATATTTTTGGTTGCTATTGAAAATTTAGTCGATTGCTGAATTTATGTATGGGCCCAAATAAGGGACACTTAGGCCGACATTACCTGCATGTCCCCTAGTTTTAAAATTTTCTACCATATTGCTATATTATATATTCGGACTTCGGAAATTTCAAATGATAAATGTGCTTATTAGTTAACAATTTTCAACCAGCTCGTCAATTTCCGGCAAGCGTTTCCAATAATTTGATATAACGTGCACACAAATTCAGCATATTTGTAGTTCTTTGATAAAATGTCAACTCAATTGTTCATAACAAAACATAGTTGCAACATGCCTAAGTTAGCTAGTTTGTATGCTATGCCTATTGTGCTAATTTAAAGGCCACCACTGTACGAGGTAAAACCATAGAGGTAACTCTAAGACTAGAAGGTTCTGAAATAACGTGCTCAACTTTTTGGCTCAGCTCTGGTACTCTCTTCGGTCCCAAGCTAATCGATTCACCCCTCGAAACATAGGAAAAACCAATAGCCCCTCATTTTACCTGTCTAACTTTCATAGCGAATCAAAACAAACATTATGTAGAACTAGAATTTCGACTAGAATGGGATACGTTAATCGTTTGCTTGGGACCAATAGGCTAGTCAAGTAGTGAGCCAATTTAAAATCGTTAGTTTCGTATTGATTGTTGGTAAAACCACTAATTTCCAATTTTAGATGATTTCACGTTCCCGCTGATACAACGTATATTCGTTGTAGGTCAGGTAAGACAGTAGGAACTGCATAGGAACACTACACGATGTTTATTCGTTTTTTTAACTCTATTTCGAACTCTCCTCAGAATTACCACCATCAAATACTCCTCAGAATTGCCCTGGAATCTTACTCAGAACTATCTATAAATTCACTTTAGACTTCACTGAAGTACTCCCTTCAGTTTGTTTAAAATTATAAATCCCATAATATTTTTAGATATTAGTCAGAATCGACATCAGAATTAACTTATTTTTTTAAATGAAACTATCCTCACAATATCCTTTTCCTAAATATTTTTTCTTAAATTCCCGTGGAATCATGCTTCAAGCCTGTCTTACCCAGTTTTCGATCATGAGTAAAATCGGAGTTAATTTTGAGTAACTCTGAGTAACTCGCGTTGCTCAATACCTTATTCACATATCAACCTGATTGTTATATTAAAACAATGTTGATACCGATGCTGTCAAGCAAAGTAAGCTGACGTGCTTTTCAGTTTTCAGAACCTCGATGAAAGTATTAATTAAAAAAGGATAGTTATAAACTATAAACTATATTCTATAATCTTTCAGAGATATAACTTTTGACTGTATGGGTGTTTTATGCAAGCCAGTTGGTAGAAGCAGAATGTGTGTAACAGTTGATATGGAAAAAGGACTATATCCTGGGTGGTAGAATCTAAAATTCATGAAGTGGGATGAGGAGAAGAGGCACAGCGCCCTGAAAAACCTAGATTAGTCAACATTGCCTCATACTGTATGAAAATAATGTTCTGCCCGACAACGACTCAGCAGCATGAAACTCTGTGAACTGTGTCTCAGAGTCGGTGCACTCCCGGGAAAACTGGAGGGCCTTCGCATACTCAAGCTTTCAAATTAAATAAAACCCGGAGCGGATCAACTTAACCACTATATTGTCTAAACATTCCTCAATACACTTAGGAGTGAGTACTGTGGTGTGTTGGATACTCTGGCACGTACTTTTACGACAACTACGACAAATGCAGTCCAGAGAGCGCTCACTGAAATTTCAAAACGATTCTGGCGATAGTAAACAATGAAAGGCTGACATGGTCTACCAGCGAATGGCGGTTTGACTAGCGCGTCTACCGTTCGTTGGCTGTCGTCCGATGGTGGTTTGGTTTAGTGATGTGGTGTTTTGGCAATGGGCTGGTATGACGGATTGTGGAGCTGGTCCCGATGCACAGCTCCGATTTTACTCCTTCAGACGAAGCCAGTCGACGACGGCAAGGTCGCACTCTGTCAAACCGGGAAGGGAATCTCTTCTTAGCTATTAGGGCCGTGTGCTCGAGAGCGGTGTCCAGGCTTGTTGAAATTTCTCAAACTCACTTTTCAAGGCTCCGGTTGACTTTTTTGTTCAAGGCAAGAAGCTTCAGAGTTCACCCAGGATTTCAAACAACAGCGTGTGATAGAAAACATGAAAATGAGTGGCAGCAAACCTCACTCCCGTTTTATCCCACTTCCCGCACAAGTTGTGAGGCTCGATGCTATGATTTGAGAGTAGGAATTCCACTCCTCAGAAAAATGCTACGCTCGGCTCATTTTAGAGTCGTGAGTGAGGCCCCATCAAGACCTCCTTCAATGGTCCTAGGCAATTAGATATCCGTACTCGCCAACCAGTAAGTGGTTTGAAAAATGTACGGAAAAGGTACTGAATCGGTGAAATCGGTGTTCAACAGGTCACTACGATTCACTACTTGAACTAGATTCCTTAACTCCACTAGCTAATCACTTCTGGCGAGCGAGTACTGTTTAAAAGTGAACGATGGCCGTTCGCTGAGCATCGCAGGACCCTTCACCCCATCACCCTGTGACTCCGTGTCACCATTTTGTTGTGGTCATAGACGCCTTATTCAACAATCGGCCGTTAAGCATGGCCGTGTCGTCTTCCCAGTGGGTTTCATCGCTATAGTTTAAATTTACCTGAAGGATCGATCACCTGCTGCAATAAAGAAATTGAAGGTTTGTAACAGAACGGTTACATGTATCAGGCGTTCGTGTGTTATACATCAGGTACCTCCATTTTGGATTGGTCAGGACCTCAGATCAGATCAGCTTCACTTCGCCGAACAGTCAAGGACTAATAATAATCTCTGGTCCGACTGACCACGAAGGAGGTTTGAAACTAGGAGAGGTTACCCCTAACCGAAAAGGAGCATTCCCCTTTTGGCACGGTCACTCCGAAATCGTCCTAGACCGTGTCAATCCTCGCCAACGAGGGAAGACGCCTGGAAGGCTTCCAAGCTACACACGAATGACAAGCCCCGTCAAACCGGCGTGCAGTCAAACCACCATTCTCCATCGGTTCGGAAAACACCAGTCACCGTTCGTCGACAGCAGTAGCAGCGAGTAATTGAAGTACGTCGCCAGATCGTCGGCATCAGCAACAAGGTAGCAGTGGTACGTACCGAAGAAAACCCCAACAAAAACAAACAGTAGTTTCCCCGCCAATCCATATCTTATCTTTCAGTTCATACTTTGCAATAACCTCTAGTCATCAGCCACATCTTGTTCACGAAGTCCTTTTGACTACCAAGTAATAAGTAATCCCTGAGACCCAGCTCGAGGAGTTTCTTGCTACTGAACTTGCCGGTACGAACGAATAGTTAAACGTTATAACTTTAGAACCTAGTTGTACTTTTCACGATATACTTATGTTGGATTTCCTCATGTCTGAAGTTAGTTCAAAAAGATGATAGGGATCTTTTACAGGCTGGGCAAGATAAGCTTTTTATGTTCACAGGGCAGAAACTTCTCAAATCTCTGGTGGAGTACCAACATGCACAGCAAAAAAATAATTTTGATATCACGTCAAAGTGGATGCACT